TTTTYCCMAAAWWAWTTTTTCTRCTGTATTTCACTGCATTAACAGACTCTCTCCTTTCTTCCTCATGCTTGTGCCAGTCYCCTACCAAACTGGCAAGTTGATCATTTCAGTTTTCTATGGACATTGCCCAACTTTAACATTATTTTCACAAATGTACCTTCCCTTCAATGTTAGAAAAAAACACACTGTCTTTTTAAACCTAGTGAGTCAGGTCTTACCAATTGTCCCTTAAAATTGGAAGATCAATCTATACTCATCCATTTTTTTAAATCCCTGGTTATGTGGAGATTTCACCTCATTTAAACACCATTACAACTTCTCCCCAAAGCCAACAGYCTTGTGATTGGCACACGTTACTACAAAAGATGTCCTACATGGTGTTTCTGCTACAACCTCAGGAATGTTTTTTGCCAAGCACAGAACTCATGTATACCKCTTGAGTTCTGGGTTTCAAGTCATACTTGACCTTTGAGGTTTAAGTTAATTTATTTTTGGCAAAAGAAAATGTATTGTTTAAAGAGAATAGGATTAGAGAGGGTCATAATAAGGACTTGTAACACTTCTTGGACCTCAGATATGTCTTACAAAACAAAATGTTTATGAGCTAAGTGTAAATGATTCAGAAACATAAGGATCAAATTTCCCCCAAAGATCCCTAAAATGCAAGAGGACTTAAAAATTAGCAGAAAGAGGGCCTGGCAAAAGATGTGCTTTGCATTTCCCCAAACCCAGGRTATTTGAAATGCAGCTTAAGAAGCTTGACAAACCTAAACTGTGACTAGGTTTTTTCTTTGTTGGTATCTTTTATTCCCTCAATATCTCAATTAAGAGCTCAGTGGCTGAAGGGGAGAGAGAAAAGTCCTGAAGGTTGGTTTAAAGGGCTGGTTGTTACATTTGTGTAGGGCCAGAGCTGGGGTTAGACTTGGCTTTGGCAGGTTTGTCTGACTTTGCTATTTTGTGTCCTTCATGTTGCCCTTTATAATTGTTTTCTCAGGTTTGTACCTTCTGCTCCATCTCCTCACCACATCAGCCCCCGGAGAGTTCCGGCTCCTTCCTCAATACTGCAGAGAACACAGCCTCCCCACACCCAGCAACCATCAGGTTCACACCTGAAGTCCTATCAGCCAGAGACGAACTCTTCTTTTCAACCAAATGGTATCCACGTCCATGGTAAGCGGGAGCAGCAATCCCCTGAGTACTGAAAAGTGCTGTTGTGCTCTTGCTTTTAATCAAGTGTCTTAGTTACCAGTTACGGGTTTCAGATATTGTTAYACATCAGACTTACGCTTTTAGAATTTTCCTCTAAAATTTCACACTTCATAGGCGTGAAATCTTACATTATTTTCCTGGCTTCGACTCTAAGATGACATAACTTATGACACCCTACACTGGTCAGCCCAGGGCAAACTGGAAGAGGACGCTGTTGCCTGGACCCAGCGCTCAAGCACAGACCCAGGCAACTGYGTCCTGTTCCTAAATAATAAACAGCCCATGTGAAAGAAGACCATGGGAGTCGGTGCCACACCTGCCTTCTCCGCTGGGTMTTTGTCCTCAGCCCCATTAAGCCAGATCCTCTCATCCTTCCAGCCCAGATGAAATGACACCTCCTCCCTGAAGCCTTTTCTTGTCCCACAGCTGATTTAATTTCTTTTGGTTCTGAACTGATGGCAGCTCATCTGCATCTGTCTGCTAGAACTTCTCTTCACTCTTTGTTGTAATTTACTTATCTGTGAGTAAAATTCTGAGGGCAGAATTTTCTGACCATTGTCATATCTCTTGGGGAGACACACAGATAAAGAGAAGACACAGGTAGGTGTTAGGTACATGAAGGAAGAAAAGGAGTGAGGATGCAGGGAATCACAGTGTTTTCAAGTGGGCTGATCTCGAGGAGGAGCATGCATGGAGAAAGAAGTCTCGCTTATKTTTTTTTTTTTAATTTAAACCCATTTTGTCAATTCAGGCACATATTCTAGTGAACTTGCTTAGAATGCTGAAATRCTCCATTGTATAGCCTCAGACTATCAATATCTGTTACTTCTTGGAGCAGTCAGACCTTCTATATAAGCAGAAAAGACACTGGCTAATTTCCTGAATTTGCTCCATTTTCATTATTACTTGAAATTAATGGATCCCCAAAACCAACCTAAATCAGTGTTCAGACTGAGTTTGAAAGAGTRATTTCCCAAGATGGCAGAAGCAAGCCAAATTGTAGAGCTAAACTTGGATAAGCACCCCAAAGTAGAGGCTTAAGCAATAAAGAGGAGGCAATGTAAAGACAGTGGCCATCTGTGGGAAGAAAAATCATTGAAAAGCCAGGTCSTTGGGCTCTGGTGCAGAGTTCCATCCATCTCTCCCTTTCCCCACTTCTCCAATGTAGCCACACAAATCCATAGTTCCCTAGTACAACTTAGACTTTCACCATTCCTCAGGCCTATGATAGTTTTTAACCTTTTTTCTAAACATTTCTTTTCAAGCTTTAGTCATATACTTCTTTGTCCAAGAAGTATTTCTTTGAGTACCTGCTATGCACAAGGCAAGATATCTGTAAGAATGGTAAACAGAGCCTGCTTCCTGCCCCACGCCAGGCAGAAGGTGGGCAGCGTGGGTGTGGGCTGTGTAGATTCCCGAACGGGTCACTGACTCTAAGACATGCTTTTTGGCTTTCACATTTTAGCACTGCTGAAATCTGGACACACCTCACAATCAGTGGCATCATATAATTGGTAGTGATTTTTCTTTCTTTTGCAATATAGAATAATGGAGCATTTCACAGTCCATGGTGTCACAGTTCCAATGAAATGCAGTGTAACGTGCTTTGATTATAACTGTGAAATAAATTTTTAAAAACTTAAAGATTGACCTATGTGTAGAAAAATTGGAAAGAAATTCATTGAAATATTAAGAGTTTCCGCATCAGGGTGGCGGGATAATGGGTATCTTTTTTTTTCTTTCTGTCTTTCTAAAGATGTTTTGGAATTAGACCAAATTGAATGCAAATTACCAGTCAATTATAAAACTGTGTGACTCCATGCAAATCATTGTGCCTCAGTTCACATTCCCTAAGTGGAGAGAGTTTCATCCACCTCCTTTCATTGGTTCTTAGGAGAATTTGTTAAGAAAAACACCAGACACAGAGTAGGAGCTTATTTAATTTAATTATCTTCCTTCTGTTCCCTTCCTTTTCTTTATTAGACTTTTTGAGAACAGGGATTATGTTTGTAGCTCCAGGGCAAGCATAATACTTGGTGTAAAGTAGGGATTCAATAAATATTTACTGAATAAGTAATTGACACTTTCTCATTCAACAAATGAATAATGAAATAAGAGGACACAGAAAATGAGATCTACCCTATCATTTTGGCAAAATACTTTTTCCACATTTCCAATTTTTAGTTAAATAATGGATGAATACATTGTCAATTTGAAGTTGTTGGCTCTCTTTTCTTTTTTCTTTTATTCTTTTGCTTGTTAAAATTCTCATAGTCAATGAGAAATTGCTAACATCAGCCCTAAATTAGATTCAAGATATAGTTTGGCAAATTGGTAAATTATGACTTTACCAATTTTCTTCAGGAAAATAGGCAAATAGCCTTTGTGATGAACTTGCAAACAGAATGCCCGTGCATTAGCCCCTAGGCCACGGAGGGGAAGTAAGAGGTAGGGATCTAGATGTTGCCTTACTCCCTTCTCCAAGCATTTTTCTGAAATATTTTTTTTTATTTTTTACTTTTTAAATATTTGTTTTTTAGTTGTAGTTGGATACAATACCTTTATTTTACTTATTTTTATATGGTGCTGAGGATCAAACCTAGGGCCTCGCACGTGCTAGGTGAACACTCTACTGCTGAGCCACAATCCCAGCCCCTCTGAAATATTTTTCTGGAACTTTGTAGTCACAGCATTTCTCATCAGTTACTGTAGAAGAAGGATAGAATTAATCAACTGTTTTTCAAGTGGGTGTTACAGTACTGGGGGTGAGGATACCTAAGTTGCTGAGGCTGGCCTTAACTGGCAATCCTCCTGCCTCAGCCTCTCAAGTTGCTGTACACCACTATGCCCAGTGGGGTGAGGAGCTCTTCTTAGTGAATTGTGTTTATTTTCCAGGCCTTTCCTCTTTTGTTGGACACGTTTGCTGTTTGAAGTTATACAACAGCCTGGTGACAGGGAACTTCATCCCATAGAAGTCTCAATTTTTAAAGTCCCAGCAGTGTCAGGGTTTCTAACCCAGTAGCTATAGTGAGTGTGTGTTCTGTCTTTAATGAGCATCATCAACCCATCTCCTCTGTCCTCTTTGCAGTAGGTAAAGGTCAGGGGGAAATGTCATCACTGTATTTTTAGAGATGGAAACTAAGACATGTAAGAATATAAAATGTCTAGGCATGACCACTTTGGTAAAGTATATAGGCAGCTTTAACTAGGGGTCTGCATTTCCAAGCCACATTGTTATTCAGTGTGTTCCTAAGTCAAAGGCACACCAAAAGAAATATTCACTTACATTTGTCCACATGGAAATGTAGATGTCTGTATGTAGATGCTGTTGCATTTTCTAGAGCTATGAAGAATTATAACTCAGAAGGCTTTGGTCTTACAGATGAGAAAAAAATGAGGTCTGCTGAGTTTTTATTAAGTCATGTCACTAATTTTTACTGAAACTTAGGCATTATGGGCTCAAGTTATATTTTTATGAAGAGGCATTTTGTGAAAAATATACTTTGAAAAGATGAACAGCATTGCTTTATCAAGTTCTCTCACCCTGACTTCATTGATTCTGCATCCACTCCATCCACTCATATTGTCTTCATAAGTAAGGTGGATAAGGTGTTCTTTCTTTTTAAAGTTTGTGTTCTGATTTAGCATTTACYGGTCTCTGTTTGGGTGCTATCTCTAAGGCAACTCCTTAGTATGCTTTAGTCCTTTATTTTCGATGTAAACATAAAGATGTAAACTTGTTCTCTGGTCTTTTCTTTCTTGTTAGGACAATTCTCTTGCCCAGGCAAGCTTCAGAATTTTGCCTGGATTAGTTGCCTGAGAGTTGATATTTGTACATTTTGTTATGGTCCTAATGGCTAATTTCTTTTTAAATCCCCTATTCACTCCAGGTTGTTCAGATGCCATGGGAATTCCTAGAAGAGCATTTTCACAAACTTCCAGCTTTGGGGGTCTATCAAGGAGAGGCCAAGTTCAGTTCATCAAGTGTTTGCTGGTCATCTTCTATGTGCCAGGCAAACATGAATGTCATTGAATCAGTGTACTGTGATGCATGCAGTAGTAGAAGGCACCTGGTGTGTTCAGAGGAAGGTGTCAGAGAAGGGTTTGTAGAGGTGACACTTGAATAGGGTTTTGAAGATAGTAGTTCATTGCGCAGGCCAAGTGGGGAAAGGCATTCCAGGCAGAGGGAAAGCAAAGGGCACCAGGAAGATCACAAATATGTGTGTGTGTGATGGGAGATTATGTGTGGCTGAGGTGCACAGCTAAGCCATGCTGTGGAGGGAGAGGATGCYGGGGAACTGTAAGGCCAGCTCACAAAGGGGTTTTGTGCAATGCTCAGTGCTGTGCTACACAATGAAGAAGTTGGTGTGGTATTTTAGGAAAGTCAAGGGGAGCACCATAAAGAGAATGGAATGGGAGAGGTAGAAACATTAAGCTGTAACTGTCAGCATTATCTTGGGCTGCATGTGTAGAACTCCTAAGGACAAAACAGAGATCGCTTCACTCGGATGTGACTGGTAAATTGAGCAATGATATTAGAATAACATGGAATTGTGTTTATTCACACAAAATCTTAAGGAGGGCTGGAATAGCAGGAGAAGAAAATGAAACACACACACACACACACACACACACACACACAAACAATCCTCAATCTAGCTGCTATATAGGCAGAAGCCCTTTCAGCTATGTTTTAATAAGAATGTGGAATGAGGGCTGGGGATGTGGCTCAAGCGGTAGCGCGCTCGCCTGGCATGCGTGCGGCCCGGGTTCGATCCTCAGCACCACATACAAACGAAGATGTTGTGTCCGCCGAGAACTAAGAAAAATAAATARATAAATGTTAAAATTCTCTCTCTCTCTGTCCCCCTCTCTCTCTCTCACTCTCTCTTTAAAAAAAAGAAAAAGAATGTGGAATGAGACTGGGGGCTCTTGCTGAAGAGAATTGCACACCAAGCCTT